GTGCCAACGGCTTAGTCAGCGCGTCCGCTAACATGTCTTCTGATGGACAGTAGACGACGTCAATCTTCTTCTGCTCAGCCATGTCACGAACGAAGTGGTATCTGGTGTCCACGTGCTTGGACCGTTTAGCTCCTCCGTCTTGCTTCAGTAGTTTAATGCAGCTCTGATTGTCCTCGTAAATTCTTACAGGCTGCTTAACTTCCTCACCAAAGTTCTTCATGAGTTTTAATATCCACTGCAACTCTTGACAACTCTCGGATAGCGATATGTATTCCGCTTCTGTAGACGAAAGCGCCACACAAGCTTGTTTCCTTGCAGTCCAAGATATTGTACCGTTACCAAGTCGAAACATATAACCAGAGTTGGACTTCCGGTCGGTAATGTTTCCGGCCCAATCAGCATCCGCACAGCCCTCAAGATCTCCTTCTCCACCAACGTACAGTTTCAAATCACAAGTACCTACCAGCAGTGTTGGAAAAGTTCGCGATATTTCACGAAGTTCACCAAGGGAAAAGTTCGCGAGTCATTTCCATCACTGCCTACCAGGTAACGAAGCACACGTTTTGCCTCTACCCAATCGCCAGCGGTGGGTTGGCTCACCTTCCTTCCCAGAATAGACGTGCTAATAGCAATGTCTGGTCGTGTATGCACAGCTAAGTAAAGCAAACCCCCAATGAGACTTTGAAATTTGTCATTGGTTGGTAGTCTATCGCTCTCCTCCTTTTGCTGCATGTAACCTGTGTCCATGGGGATCTTTGACGGTTTAGCATCCTGCATACCGAAACGATCCGCCAATTTCCGAATGTACGCCTTCTGACTGAGGCAATACTGATCGTTCTTCTTCTCTACCTGTATTCCAACGAACTGTTGAACATCTCCAAGTTGGGTTAGGTCGAATTCGGCTCCCAAGCGCCTGAAAATCTCATCGTACTCCTGCTGACTTGAACTTGCGACCAACATGTCATCGACATACAGCAATATGAATGTCGATTTCTGACCTCGATGACGCACATACAAACAGGGGTCTGCATCAGACGGTTTGAATCTTATTTGTCGTAGAACACTATCGATTTTCTGGTTCCACATCCTTGCCGATTGTCGAAGGCCGTATATGCTCTTCTTCAACAAGCAAACTGTACTACTCATCGTAGATTTCACTCCAGGAGGCACTCGCATATAGATCTGCTCGTCTAGATTACCGTTGAGGTACGCGGTCTTGACATCTATATGTTTCACTATCATACCTCTCCTAGCTGCGATAGTAAGTAGTGTTCGAAAGGTTACCTGCTTCGCAACGGGAGCAAATATTTCATCGAAATCCGTACCGTAGACTTGGGTGAATCCGGCATCCTACGATTTTCCTTCCAGGTGGTGCATCGGTTTCCTCCCAGGTTTGATTTTTCCGAAGCGATTCCAGTTCATCCAATATTGCTTGAATCCACTGCTCCTCTTCAGATCCACTGACAGCCTCCTGATAAGAACGTGGTTCGCCAGACAACTCTTTCACGGGACCGTTAACCTGATAACGCTGTGGCGGAACTCCAAAGTTACTACGCCGCGACCGACGCATTTCGCCGTCCGGCAGCTCCTCCTGTTCCTCGTCTCCGCGGTAAAATGAACTTGCTTCAAAACCTTCGAAATCTTCTTCATCTGCATCTTCATATTCACTCAATACACTTCCATTTTCATCATCAATTTCAGGGCCAACTTCATTCTACACCGTTAGTGGGAACTCAACGACACTATCTGATTCCTCCGAAGCCTGCTTTGTTGGACGGAAAATCTCCAACTGCTCCTGCTTCAGAAATCTTACATAAGGATGACGACCTTGTCCGTTTTCAAATCAATCATTCGGTACCCCTTTTATGCTGCGAAGAGTACCCGATGAATGTCATCCGTACGGCCTTTGGTTCCAGCTTGGTGCGTTTTTCCGAAGGAACTAGAACACACGCCTGCGAACCGAACACGTGAAGATTCTCCAAATCTGGCTTCTTCTTGAAAACGGTCTCGAAAGAAGTTGTATCTTTGACCCTTGTCGGAAGTATGTTCTGCAAATAGTTGGCAGTATTAACAGCTTCCGCCCAATATTTGTAGCCCATGTTGGCATCGAGCAGCATGCATCAGCCCATCTCCACAAGCGCCCGATTTTTGCGCTCCGATACACCGTTCTGCTGTGGTGTATACGCCGTAGTGAACTGCTGGAATATTCCCTCTTGTACACAGAACGCTTGCAACGAATTAGCCTTATACTCCCCTCCTTGATCCGAGCGAAGCACCTTCGGTGGCCTTCCGAACTGCGTTTTGGCCATCCACACGAAGCGTTTGAAGCAATCTTCCGTCTCAGACTTTTTGCGAAGGAAAAAAATCCAGCTGTAGCGACTGAAATCATCTATAAATGATACGAAATAACGGCACCCTCCCGGCGTTGGAGTATTCATAGGCCCACACACGTCGCTGTGGATGATATCAAGCACTGCGGTCGACTTTTGCTCTGCCTGTTTGGGAAACGGAAGCCTCGCCATCTTCCCCTTCAAGCAGCACTCACACACCGCACGGATACCACAAGGTTGTATACGGATACCGTTCGCTAATCCAGTTATCTCCATTTCCAGTATGGCCTCTGGGTCACGGTGTCCCAATCTTCGGTGCTATTAATGGATGCACAACGGGTTGTGGCTCTTCGCTACCGCCACTGTTGGCTTGCTCACCAGTCTCAGTAAATACAAGCCACCGACAAGCACAGCCTCGCCTGCTGTTAGCCCTTCGCGAGAGATAGTACAACCAGAAGCAGAAAAACTCACCTAAGCTCCCTTCCTGATCAAGCAACCAACGGATATCAAATTGGCCTTCATCTCTAGAACGTAAAGCACCTGAGTCAGCAACACTTGCTTTATACCTTGGCTCTCAACGAGGCAAGAGATCCGGCACGTTCCTTCGCCTTCCACCGGACACTTGCGGCCGTCAGCCACCACCACAACACTAGGTGTTTCCAATCTTCTTTTCTTCACGGTTTCGAAAAAGTCACGATTTGCACAAATGTGCCACGACGAACCAGAATCGATTGTCCATTCACTAGTCGAGTCACCGATCGCGAACGCGAAAGCTTCTTCTTCTTCTTCCGCGTGTGTTGCCACTTTGGCCTGTGCATTCCTGGATGACCTCGAATCGTCCCGAACATCTTCGTCTAGTTTCGGTTTCACTCGACAATCTTTCTTCTTGTGTCCAACTCTCTGGCAGTTGTGACACACCACACTTTTCTTCTTCTGCGTTTTCTCATACACTTTCAACGCTTTCTCACTTTTTTCGTCTCCTCTACGCTTCAACATACACTATTGGTCCTAAGCAAATCGATTAACGGACCCCATTCTAGTCGAAATTCTAGTACTACACAATGGTTGTTTTGATTCGCTATGAAAGTTTGACAGATAAAATGAGGGGTTCGTGGATTTTCCTATGTTTCGAGGGGTGCATCAATTAGCTTGGGACCGAAGATAGTACCACAGAGCTGAGCCAAAAAGTAAAATGTTCTCTCAACAATAAGATACGGTTCATATCAGTCACTTGATCATCAATAGTCTATGATAGGTCTTGTCCATCTGAACAACTTTAACAAGACGGAAACCTTCTAGCTAGTCCATATGTTAAGTTAGGGCAAACAATGAAACTTGAATGTCACACTAGTGCTGCCTGGCGAGTTAATTCTGAGTTGAATTCTTAGCCATTATATAGGTCTTGTTCATCTGAAGAACATTGCCGAGGGCGGGAACCTTCTATGTAGTCAGGATATTAAGTTAGGGCAAACAATTCAAAATGAATGTAACACAAGCGCTGCCTGGTGGGTTAATTCTGAACTAAAACGCTGACCTTAGGATAGGTCTTGTCCACTTGAACAACTTTACCGAAGACGGAAAACTTCTATTTAGTCCATACGTTAAGTTATGGCAAACAAGGAAAATTGTGTCACATTAGCGCCACCTGGTGAGCAAATTATGAGCTGAACTCTTTACCTTAGGATAGGTCTTGTCCATATGAACAACGTTACTGAATCTTCTATCTATTTCATACACTAAGTTAGGGTGAACAGTTCAAAATTAATGTCGCACTAGCGCTGCCTGGTGAGTTATTTATGAACTAAACCCTTGACCTTAAGATAGGTCCTGTCCATCTAAACAACTTTGCTGAAGACGGGATCCATCCATATGAGCAGGATCTGTAGATAGCGTTATATAATGTGTATATAAGAACTTCATCATTTTCGTTTATGCGCCATCTAGTGAGTCAATTATTTCATACACATTGCATAGTTTCGAAGAGTTTGTATTCTTGAATATCTTTGCACTAGGAAGCAACGTCCTATTTGGTTGAGATCTCGTGATATAAACTGCCGATACTCGCATAATTGTCCCATCTTTGCTTGATTTCCTATTCATATGGGACAGTAATGCTTTTATGGGCAGTAAACATCATCATCAAAATATGCCCTTCATTGGTATATTTTTACAATGGCCCCTCACTATGAGAGATCCGCCTCTTTAAATAAAGTTTGTTCATTTAAACTGAATTAAATTTACTTTACAAAGCATTTGAAATTTCAAAAATCCGTTGAACCTTCGCTGCGATATGACAATTTGAATTTGGGTCAAATTGATCCCAAGGTACAGACAAAGTAATTTTTTGGCACAGACGAAAGGTTAACCGCTCAAGGTTGAAAGAAAGAAAATCTGCGATTATTAGTTTCTAAAATATCTCAAAGGACTTCGGCGAGGATCGGGGAAGAAGCTTGAAAATTAGAAGAACTTTTGAGCGGTTCGGTCAACTACAGATAGGTTCAATGAACTTTGGAGAGGGTCTGCGAAATTCAAAGCTGTTAAGATTGTCTAGAAGGCTTTAGAGTGGTGTAAAGAACTTCGGTGGTATCAAAATCTATCGAAAATTGCGTCAAGTCAGGCCAATAGTATCGGTTTTCCAAGTCAGAATTATTTAGACAAGAAGTCACCTACCTTCCTATTCGCACTGCAGTACCCGAAGCAGATGACTTCGATGAGAATTTCCACCGACAAGGGTATGCCAAGGGACGCAAGCTTACCCTCCGCCTTGGGCATTCCTTTGCGATGCGTCAGTATGGCTCCCTCGTCCAGCGAACTAATGAAGTCCTTCATAACGACATTGCACTGATCGTAAGCAGCGCTGAAATGGTTCAAAATGAAGTTTCCTTTTTTTTCGAATTCCTGTAGATAATGTTACCTTTTGATGCGCTCATCCGAATGTGATAGTAAGCGGAGAATGAGTTTTTCAGCAGCATCTCTGAGCTTGTAATTGCCTTCGAAGTACCCGTGGCAGCTGTAAAGGAGAATAGTATTTTAATTGTTTAAACAAGACATTTTTCTTTCGGGAACTCACTTTCCCACCGCTCGGATCAATAGCTTCACCAACCCTATCGAACGATGCAGATACAGCGAATCGATCGCATTTAGCCCGTTCATGACTAGTTCCTCATCCGTCAGGGCAGTCGGTTGCCGAAGAATTGCAATAGCTGGAGCGAGTATCTCATCAGCCCCGAGAAGAATTTGCATTTTTCGATTGCTATCCGACTTTAGCGCCAGCTCCAGCACTGGTCCATGAATTGATGGATAGATGTGCTTCATGGGATAATCTAGAGCCGCTATCTGCAGTTCATGGAGCCAAATTTGGTCCTCGTATTCGATTATCCGCCGTTGGTTGGTCGAGTTCATGGTTTCGAATTCTGTCGGGTTGTAACGAGGTTTGTGTGGGAAGCAGGTGTCATTCAAGGGCGCATGCTGATCTGCGGATTCGTGCGATTGTGTGTCGCTGTAAATTTGAAGAAGACGAGAAAGGATGTTGATTGTGACCAGGTACTTTGTCCTGATGGCAAAGCTCTTGCTGTTGGATTCCCAACTCTGCCGGAAATGCTTCGCCAGATAACCCAGTTCGTGGCGTATCTCGCGGAATTGAAACTCTTCCAGTGGTTGGACGATCGTCAGTTCTAGGAGTTCATGTAGCAGATTCACAATTTTATTTGACACTTGTACGTCGATGTCATCAGACACTTCTTTCAGGCTGTTGATTCCCAAAAGGAACAATTCATGCGCGAAAGCAGATACTGATATTTGGACTTTACTGGTTTCTTCTAGGCATTGTTTTTTTGTATCCTGGTAGATGTACATACTAGTCAACTGTAGTGATTTCAAACGCTTCTGAATCGAAATGGTTAGTCGGTGGAACATCTCGATCGTAGTCCTCAAACTTGCCCGTTTCGCATCCAGTAGGCGAATTAGAGAATGTAAAACGTACGGAGGTTGTAGAAAGAACTCCGGGGGGTAGTCGTTGATGGAACGTACCAGATAGCTGAAGGCGTGTTTGATAACTTTCTCATCCCCTTGAGGATGCAACGACTCGTTGAGATCTTTAAATACTTTAGCGTCAGGAGGCGGAGGAACTTCCCAACATTTGGTGTAATAGTTTGGACCTTTTGCTTGATTGACGCTCAGACTTTGTCGGGGCGAATCCGTCAGATCGACGCATTCGATTTTCAAACTTGCAAGGCTCTCGGCAATGCTTTCAGGATTTCTAGATCGTTCTGTTTCTTTAAAGTCGTTTACCAACTGAATGATGTTGTCCACGAGTTCCATAAGTTCTGACTTTGAACCAACCAGGTATTTTACTTTTCCCATCTCGGTTATTAATCGTTTGCTGGTGAAATAGTTAACAATGCTCGAACCATGGTGACTCTGAAAAATCCAGTAGACCTTTCATGGACATATTCGGAATAAATTTTCGATTGTAAATTCTCACCGCAAGAAGCAACGACATCAGTTCTAGCACTGCAGCCTCCTCGCAGATGGGAACGTTTCCGAACCAACGGATCAGATTTTTCACCAGCGAAGAGGGGTTGAATTTGATGTCCTCATGTTCCCACAGGGCCCGTTTGACTTTGTTTTCGATGTCATGCAGCGTTCGGACTCGGATTTCCAGGATTTCGTGAGCTGAGATGGGATGCATTCTTAAATGTAGGTTCTAAGAAACAATATTCACTAATGAGTACTTACATAACTTTGCCAACATATCACTGCTAATTACAAGTGTCATTTTGTTGGTCTATTTCATGGAAATATTACAGTAATAAATTCACAAATTCACAAGTTGTAAACATAATCGTAAACGGCCGTTGGAAAAGATGCAAACAAAATAAAAACCGGCTTTTTACTTTGACGTTTCTCGCTACTGATCGACACTGTAACTGGAAAGAAACCATTAATGGGTAAAAAAGAGCCTATTTTGAAGTAAAGTACACTCTAAAGATTTTCAAATCTAAATAGTTTAAAAGCTACGTTAAATCAAGAAATACTCAGAGGGAGAGATGGGCGGAGAGAATGTTTTGAGCTAAATGAACAGTCAAAATCTGAGCCAATCGAACATTCTAATTAAATTTTTTTCGGCGATTTCTTATTTTTACTAGAATAAATTTGAGAGTATTGCAATCGAACAGAAATTCAATCACCTCTATGTTTTGTGTGCTTCTCAAATTCAACTAGTTTTTGAAACCAAAAATAATATTCTAACTCTATTGATTAATTGATCTTCGTTGGTTAATGAATGGCAACAAGAAATGTGCAAAATATTACGATGCAATCAATTATTATTTTGCACGTAAATCGGGTAAAAATACTACACGCATAAACGCGAACCATCACATGACCTTACCGATAATGGTTATAAATTATTTATAATCCCTGCTAAACTTCAACTGAAATGGTTATGGAACTTTACATGAACGTTTGTGTGATAAGGTTTTAACCTTATGTATTATGGTTTTTTGGAAACGGACTTTACAAACAATGGGTTGTTAAGAACCATTACCATTCCAAATTCTTGTTTTCTCCATACATTTTCGGAAAGAGAACTATATTAGAACGTTTTTAGTTATGGTTTGAGAACATTAATGGTTATGGTTATGGTAGTCAGTAAGGTCCATTAATGGTTTTGTATTATCGCTCAACTTTACGTGAAATATATCGTGAATTGGTAATCAGTAATTTACAGGCAACCAATTCGCGATATATTCCACATAAAGTTGATCGATGTTACAAAACTATTCATGGACCTTACTGGTTACCATAACCATTAACATTAATGTTCTCAAACCATAAGTTAAAAGGTTTTAGTATAGTTTTCTTTCCGAAAATGTATGGAGAAAACAAGAATTTTGAATGGTAATGGTTCTTAACAACCCATTATTTGTAAAGTCCACTTCCAAAAAACTATAATACTTAAGGTTAAAACTTTATCATTAAACGTTCATGTAAAGTTCCATAACCATTTCAGTTGAAGTTTAGCAGGGATTATAAACAATTTATAACCATTTTAGGTAAGGTCAATTTATGGTTCGCGCTTATGCGGGTAGCTTCTAGCAAGGGTTGCAAGATAATTTAGGAACAAATCCCTGCTGCCGAATTTTGTTTTGTTTTCTCCACCTATCTCTCCCTCTGAGTATTTCTAGTTAAATCCAAGGGGTTTCTACACACCAAATTTAAATTTTGAATTTCAGCAAAACAGTTTGCTGAAATGGGTTCAGCATAGGATTTTTGATCTAATTTCCGTCCTACTAAGCACAACTTGCGCTTTACGTCTCTTTTTTGAGCGGGATTGATAAAAAAATTAATTTTTCTGTCAAAGATGACTTCTAAATGTATTCACCTTTCCATACGTACGATTGGATTTGATAAAGAGTCACAAATTGTTGAGATATTGTTTAAATGTAATACTGCTTCTTGATTCTAAATCCGTCCTACGAGTTTTAATTCCGTCCAAACGCATTGAAACGCCATTAGATTTCCTTCGTCCTACGGATAAAAAGGGGATTTGCTTGGAGCGCTTCTTTTGTTTTGAGAACAATGAGCGTATATATTCATACAATACGCTCTAATAGGATTTATGTTGTAGCTAATGAACTAACGCCTCTGAAGAAAGCTATTATTGATTTGTGCATGGTAAAATCATTGATATTATTGATCTTGTTTGACCGATACAACGGAAATGGGCGATTACGACGAAGTAGTGCTCTACCCTACACACAAAAAATTATCGTTAGTAAAATTGAAAAATCCATTGGTAGAATTATAAGTTTCCGTTGGTTCTTTTTGGTAGAAAGTCTTTAGCTTTCAAAACAAAAGTCAGCTAACTGTTAATTCAAAAGTAACTCGTTTTTTACTTTTAAAAGTTGAAACTTTCAAATCGAATTGTAGAACTGTCAATATGAAAACCTATTTTGTTAAATAGACTTATGAAAGGATTTAATTTAAAAGATGGGCAGTTTTATCGCAATGATTTATGTTTTCATTTCAAATATGAATTCTTTTTAATTCAGTTGCTTTTTACTTTGAAAAAAATAAAGCATAGAAACATTTAATTTAATATATTTTAGTTTATTTATATGATGGAGGGCACGGCATTATGGAACTTCAAAGCATGGGAAGCGTATTACGCAAATATACAGTTGGTTGAACAGCTGGTGATGGTGATGGTGGGAGTAGCCTTCCTTTCCGGCAATTCTGACGAGGCTGCTGAAAATCAAAACACATCAATTAGGAAAATCGGAACCAAGCAAACTCTTCAAAAATTTCATCATCTTACCTCCAAATCCCGCAGCTGGAGGATCCTTCCAATCCTTCCACTTCATAGCGTCACCACGAATGTCTCCATTTTATTATTTGTATCTTACAGAAGAGAAACAAGCGCACCGGTGGATGAAAATGTGGAAAAGTTCAAGAAACTGCTGCTGCTCATTCTAATTCTCACAGCTGCTTTTGTTTTGTTTGTTTGTTTCGCATGTCCAATTTGGCGGGAAACACAGGTCCAGTACTGTCAAACACATCGCAAGGAAGAGATTTTTTGACAATTTTACAACTTTTATTCTAAAAAATAGACTCTTAAAATTACAAGCCGAAAGTGACAGAAACACTTTTAAATCAAAAAAATTATTTTACATTTGAAAAATTTCATAGTTGAAACTACGAAATTTGGGAAACTTTTAATTTGATCATGCATTATTCTTAAAGCAACAATTTTTGTTTTTTGTGTGTAATAATATTTTACTGGAATTCAGAATTAGCATTTTTGGCATTGCCGACATCCAGCAAACAGACGAATGTCAGAGTATTTGTTGATAATCAGTAAAACGAACTTCCTGTCTACTTAAATGACAGTCGGGAAAAGCTTGCCTACACTTTCTACCGTTCCGATTCAAATTTCGGACGATTCAAATTTCGGACACTTTCATTTTTAATTAAATATTACATCCAGTTAGAAACAAAGTAATAATGTTAGATGATCGTGGAGGACACTAGTCAAAAAAAATTAAAATTTACGAGACATGTGGATCATATTCGACCGAGATAATCAACTTTTAAAAGTGTCCGAAGTTCGAGTTTAAGTGTCCGAAATTTGAATCGGCACGGTACTTCAAATTTAATTTTTCATTTACGTTTTTTCGTATTTGTTTTTTTAACTATAAGATATTATAAAGTTTCGTGTATACATGAAGCCATCAATGAAAATTGTTGTCGAAAGCGATAGACAACTGGGATGCTGAGAAATTGTTTTGTAAGTTGATTTATTGCTAAAAAAATATGTTTTTGCAGGCGCTCCAGTGCTTTTTTTTGCAAGCATATAATTGGAGGATAGCAGGAAAGTTGATTTTCTTGCACATCTAAAATTGCCCCACGGGCAGTGCTTAAAAGCTTCAAATTCAATTCCCAAAATATGCCCTGCCAGAGACAACATTTTACTCATCAACTACTTCCTCTGGCAAAGTTGAAATGGATGTAAATCTATGTAAATAGGCTTACCTGAGCGTAGCGCTTCGAGTGATTATGGTTGTTTTGTTTTGCAATATGTTTCAGCAAGAACTGAATGACAATGAGCGCAGACAACTCATTCATTTTTATTGTGCTGTAGAGAATGAAATTAACAGTCTCTCGGTTTTAAAACTATTTCAGTGAGCTTTTTTATTCAACGTTACAAAAAGAGCAATAAATAATTGTCGGCATCAAAAATCTTTTTTTTTATATGTAGTTACTTTCAGCGATTATCTTTGGAAATCTTCAAGATCTGCAATGCCGTGATGTAAGAAAAGGGTAGATAATCAGTCATTTGTTGCTTCACTCATCACCATTGTTATTGAACCATTTATTTGGTAGGTGGGTAGCAAGGTATTTGTTTATTAGGGATGTTTTGAGCCAAATGAATTGTCAAAATCTGAGCCAAACGAACATTCCCATTAAATTTTTTCCCGAGGATTTCTTATTCTTACTAGATTAAATTTGAGAGTATTGCAATCGAACAGAAATTCAATCACCTTTATGTTTCGTGTGCTTCTCAAATTCAACTAGTTTTTGGAATCAAAAGCAATATTCTAGCTCTATTGATTAATTGATCTTCGTTGGTTAATGAATGGCACCAAAAAATGAGCAAAATATCGAGGGGGGCGACTCTATCTACCATGCGGAAACGATTTTGTTTTAGTGTGATTAGCTGCGCGCACGCTGAGTAGATAGAAAGAAGATTTATGACGATTCTGAAGATTTCCTGCAAAAAGATGATGCGAGGTGCAAGTAGATGAGAGAAGTGAAAGAAATTTTTTAGTAGATTGTTTTGCTAGTGTGAGATTTTTTGAGCATCTATAATTGAGATTTAGATGTGACGCCCCCTCGCAAAATATTGCGATGCAATCAATTATTAATTTACACGTAAATCGAATCAAAAGTAAAAGTCATGTGAAATGCTAAGTTTTAGCAAGGGTTGCAAGATAATTTAGATACAAATCCCTGCTGCTGAATTGTATTTTGTTTTCTCCACCTATCTGTCCCTCTGAGTATTTCTAGTCAAAACCTCCCCAAAAATGGGTAAACTGTGTTGGGAGTTACAAGTTGACAAATAAACAACGTTGATCGGATTCATGTCGATGGTGTCGATGTTGTTCATTTGTCAACTTGTCACTCCCAACACAGTTTACCCATTTTTGGGTAGGTTCAGTTTTGATCGATCTGGGTGTATTCTACCCAAATTTAGGAAGTTTTGAAATAGCGTGTAGAGTATTTACCAGACCCGTTTTTTAGAACATTGCAGAGCGCGCGCATTTTGCTTTCTTTTGCTCTCTTCATTCTGCCGAACATATTATG